TAGCATAACTATCCTACTAAACTTCTATGCACAAATTTCTTGTTTTTTGTTCCAGGTATTCTCCATATTCAAATGCTACGGATTCTATGAAACGATCAAGGGATAGTGTTTCATTTCTTAAAGAGTACAGTCCGAATGATGTGCTGGTAAGTTCAATATTATCTGTTCCGTGCTAGTAAATTTTGTTGAAATTTGAAAGTTTTAGGTAGTGAACTTCCGTCCTGAATCTGAGGTTCCTTGGGGAATATCAGGAGAGTCGATGAGTGCATTGATGTAAGTTTTTCAAAGAGCCCGGTAATTTTTGAATTGTTAATATGTTGCGCATCAATATAAACATCAGTTTAGCGACAAATAAATCCAAAAATTGGTACAATTTGCTTTGACCCGAGATCCTTTGTTTCCAGTGAACAACTCAAAGGCAACTCGTCCATCAGCTTTATTGTGACGGTAGAAATTTCTCGGCCGTATGATACGCAGAAGAAGGAAGCAGTGAAGCATTCAGCGGTTTGGTCACAAGACATAGCACCAAATACAACGTTACGATCGCAGTGGATTAGTATGCTTGAAAATCCTGGAGTTGGTGAAACGGTATGGAGTCTTTGAGAGATTTTGCAGCACTTTCTCTTTGCTTTTTTAGCATTAAGTTGAATTCGGTTTAGGTTTTGATGTCAGAAGCGTTCCCCAGCTATCTATTAGTCCCTAGCGAAGGTGCCGTAATTCTACCGACGCCTATAGTGGCAGCTATACAACTGAATCAGGACAACTACCAAAGACCGGACAATGCTACTGACAGAGATTGGTTTGATACACTGAAGCTATCACTTGTCAACTCATCAGCAGGCGTACGTTTGTATTAGTTGTCCTTTTGAATTATTCTCGGTGATAATGTCCGTGATTACAGAATGTGTGGGTTGTTGAAGCGCAACATCCTACGCAATTCACTAGCGTTTACTTCAATGCGTCCAAAATTACGTACGGAACACATCGTGATCGCACCTATGTGCAGACTATCGCATTTGTCGACAAAGCTTTCCCGTCGTTCTTCGCGAAATATCTTCAAGGAGGGTAAGGCTGTTGTATCTTCCATCCTTTGGGAGAAATGTGATTACCGTAACTGTTCTTGTTTAGTGTGATAGCAATGTACATCTCGTTGGTCATCGTAGTCGGCCGGGTGATTCGTGGAGTGTTCATGACATCGCCAACAAGTGTAATGATCAATG